ACACAACATAGCAAAGAACACACAACATAGGCAAAGAGAGAGAACAAGCAAACATACAAGAGAACACAACACGAACATACAAAGACTGAGAACATAGCAAGGGAGAGAAAATATAATCAAGAAGAGAACATATGCAAGAGAACACACAACACAGCAAGAGAACATGACACAAACATAGCAAAGAGAACACACAACATAGCAAGAAGAGGAGAATAGCATAGAGAAACACAACACACATAGCAGAGAACCACAACATAGCAAGAGAACCAACAACAACATAGGCAAGAGAACACACAACACAGCAAGAGAACACACAACATAGCAAGAGAACACACAACATAGCAAGAGAGAGAACATAGCAAGAGAATACACACAAACAATAGCAAGAGAGAGATAACATGAGCAAGAAGAAACACACAACATCGGCAAGAGATAACACAGCGCCTGCAGTGCGTGTGGCTCTGAGGTGCATCAATCCGGGTCCTTCTGCGTCGCTTGAAAAAACACAAATACTTTGTCCCCGCCGTGTCCGGAAACCTCCAAAAAAAGGAGAGAAATGTTTGTGTTTTTTTCTTCTTTTTTATTCTCTCTGCCTCTCCTCCCTTTCTTTATTTGTTTTACTAAATTCTCCTTCTCTCTCACATCTCTCTTTCTCACTCTGTCCTGCTCTGGTCCCTCTCACTCTCATCTTTCCCCTCTCCTTTCTCTCCCTCTCCTTTTCTCCTCTCTCTAATCTCTTCTTTCATGTTTCTATCTATCACTCTCTCCCTATCTTTTTTCTTTTGTTCATGTTTTCCCTTCGTATCTCTCCTCTCCCCTCTATTCTCGGTTCCCCCCCTTCTGCTCTCCCTCTCTCTTCTCTCGTCCTCTCTTAATTTATCTCTTTCTCCTCTCTCCTCTCTCATTCTCCTTCTCCTTCCTCTATCTATTATCTCTTCTCATCTCTCATCCTCTCTCTCTCTCTCCTCTCCTCTCTTCTCTCGTCTCTCCATCTCTCTCCTCTCTCTCTCTCTCTCTCCTCTTCTCTTCTTCTTCTTCCTCTCTCCATCCTCCCTCTCTCTCCTCTCTCTCTCATCTCTCTCTCTCATCTCTCCTCTCTCTCCTTCTTCTCTCTCTTCTCTCTCCTCTCTCTCTCTCTCTTCTACCACTCTCTCTTCTTTAATCTCTTATTCTATCTTCTATCTATTCTCTATTCTATCCCTATCCTTCTCTCCTCGCGTCTCCTTCTTTCTTTTTCTATCTATCCTAATCTCCTCCTTCCCATTTTTTATTCTTGACTCCTTCGTATCCTCCCCCCTCGTTCTCTTTCTTCCTCTCCCCTCTCTCGTTCTTTCTCTGCTCTCCTCTTTCCTCTCTACCATCTTTCTAATCTCCTCCCTCCATCTTAACTCCTGTCACAATTTTGCTTTTCCTATTTTTCTTTACTTTTTTTTCTTCTTTCCTTATTTCCTTTCTCCTCTTTCTTATTCTGTTTTTCCTCCTTTTTATTTTTTCTCCCTACTCTTCTTTCTTATTTTTCCTCTCTCTCCTCTCATTCCCTCCTCCTTTCTGTCATAAATTTGCATACCAAAAGCAAAGAACCACAAAAACAAATTAGCAAGAAATCAAATGAAAAAAAAAAATGTAAATTGAACCGGAAGCCAAATGGGAGTCTCGCACGGAAATGCATCACAAACACGAATCAACGTTTATTTTAGGCAAAATGTTATAATCATTACTATGTGAATACAACAATATTTCATTACCCCATCTCTCTCTCTCTCTTATATTTATCTCTTTCTCTCTCTTCTCTCTCTATTTGTCTCTTTCTCTCCTTCTACACTCTCTCTCTCTCATCTCTCTCTATCCTCCCTCTTCTTCTCTCTCTCTTTCTCTCTCTTTCTCTTTCATCTTTCCTCTTTCTCTTTTCTCTTTCTCCTCTTTCTCTCTCTCTCTCTCTCTCTCTCTCTCTCTCTCTCTCTATTATCTCATTCCCTCTCTCTTCTGCTCTCTCTCTCCTCTCCTCTCTCTCCTCTCTCTCTCTTCTCTCTCTCTCCTCTCTCTCTCATCTCTCTCTCTTCTCTCTCTCTCTCTCTCTCCTTCTCTCTCTCTCTCTCTCTCTCTCTCTCTCTCTCTCTCTCTCTCTCTCTCTCTCTCTCTCTCTCTCTCTCTTCCTCTCTCTCCTTCTTTCCCTCTCTCTCCTCTCTCTCTCGTCCTCTCCCTCTTTTCCCTCTTCCCTCTTCTCCTCTCTTCCTTCTCTCCCTCTCTCTCTCCTCCCTCCCTCTCTCCCTCCCCTCCTCTCTCCCCTCCCTCCCCTCCTCCTCCCTCCCTCCTTCTCTCCCTCCTTCTCTCTCTCTCTCCCTCCCTCCTTCTCTCCCATCCCTCCCCCCTCTCCCCTCTCCCTCTCCCCTCTCCCTCCCTCCTTCCCCTCCCTCCCCCCTTTATCCTCTCCTCTCCTCCCCCTCTCTCTCCTCCCTCTCCTCTCCTCTCCCTCCCCCTCTCACTCTCTCTTTACGCAGGAATGTCCAAACTCGATACATAAGTGAGATCCGCCTTCCTCTTTTTTCTCCAACAGGAAATGAAGTCGTTCGGTCGTTAAACAACAGCAATTATAAGAATTCGTTAAAAGATTTCTATTCCGTATCGTACCGTTTGCGAAGACGTTGGCGAAGTGACGGCGAATGAAAAGAGGCATAAAAGAAAAATGAAAAATAATTCCGTACCCGAGGACGGTAAATGAAGGCAAATTGTGTTTAGATTTATTTTTAATTAAAAATTGAAAGTTTTCTCTATGTATCTTTTTTTCGTTTTTGTCTCATGATGATAAATGTTATAGCTACATTAGAATTGTATTGCTGTATACATTAAGCAGTATACAAGAAAGAAAAAAAATGTTTCTTGTATTCTGAAGTATTCCCCTCTTTTTCTTTTCTCCCTTTTTTCTTTTTACTAAATTTCTCGCTGTTTCCTTCAATAAAAAGGAGAAATAGAAAAAAAATCAATACATTTCTTCCTTCTTTTGGGACAAATGACTGACCTGCCTTAAGAAAATGAAAATTAAAGAAACTGCAATGAAGAATCTTCACATTTGATAGTATTGTATTCCAGTTTATTAGATACACAACATGGCAACATGGCATGTGAAAAAAACAGTTTTTAGCTCAAAAAACTTTTTTGTCATGCTTTTCTTTATATACTAAGTTGTAGAAACACTGTTCAAGGACGTGTTTATCTTTACTATCTGTATATCTACTCTGCTCATGCCATAAACAATAATAAACTCAATTACATATCTATCAAGATTTATTCAGCCAAATTACGGTCAAAGGTAGATATACTGTCTTTATTTCTCTTTATTTATTCAGTTGATTTATACAGAGCCATAGTCAATAGTTTCTATCCCTATCTTCTTTTATTTACTTTATCAGTGCAGAGCCATAGACACAGATATTTATATACCTATCTTTATTTATATGCAAATCCATATTCAAAAGCGTCCATATTTCTATCCTTATTTTACGCAGTCACCGCAGTGTTATAATCAAAGCATCCTTATATTTTCATTTTCATTTTCACAGGCAACAAAAAGCTATAACTAAAGACAATTCTATTTCTTGTCTCCATTTACACAGCAACCTTATCAGTCAACACGGAGCCATCTTCCAGAACATTCCTATCTATCGTTATTTATAGGCAACACAGACCTTTAATCAATCGAATCTTTACCTCATATCTTCAATACACAGTCAACTAAAAACCCAGTCCTTATCCTGTTATTTTCATCTTAGACGTTCAGCATAAAGCCACAGTCAGAAGCATTCTTATCTCCGATCTATATTTTACAATGAACGTAAAGCTACTGTATAATTAAAATCGTCCTTATCTCTTATCGTTAATTGCACCGTAACATCGGCCATAGTCAGAAGCCTCCTTATCTCCTATCTACATTTTAAAATCAACGCAAAGCTACCGTGTGATTAAAAGCATCCTTAACTCTTATCAGTAATACACCGTAACTGTAACCCATAGTCAATAGCAACTTAATTTATCATCGTTATTTACACGCAAAGCCAAACTACCGTAAGAAATGAACCCATCCCAGTGTCATCCGTCCGTTCTTCACAGACATCACTCATATGACTGGAAAATTGATGCAATGATGTGTCGATATGCCGTTGCCGTCGCTGCCGTGACGACGAGTGCCCCGACGTGGTGAGCATCGACACGTGCATGGTGACGACGAGAAAGTGCGGTGACATTAATTCACGCTGAGAGGAATTAGAGGGTTTGGAAACGCCGATGATAACAACCATCAGCTGTTAACAAGGTCCGCGGTGGGAGATATTGGGGATTCGGGATCTAGCTCAGTGGGCCGGGAAAGACACGATTTTTTTTTTCTTTTTTTATTGTCTCGAGTTCTTGCATTCTGTTTTGCTCTTGCAGAAACGGGGGAAAAAGACGATGAGGGTGGAACGCTACACGAAAAAAAAATGTGTCGGCTTCCAGTACAGGTAACAATTAAGGTTTTCTGTTCTTAGAGAAAAAAGATAAAAAATGGTATGGCTGTATCTGTAAAAAGTTGCCTCTACAGCTTTAGTTCAATATCTCCTTACTGCCCTCCCCCCCCTCCTCCTCCCAGGCAACCTGCCCAGGGTAGCGCGAGCACACTGACCCCGTGGCCTGGATCGACTTGCTTGGTATGCCGGTCGGGCGGGAAAATTCTGCTTTCGATATTCTTTCCGCATTATTTTGCTTCGCGAAACGGCCAAAATAGCCTCGGAAATGGAAATCATGGCGACGGATCAGAACCGCAGTTATTTCGATAATGTGCCGCCGCGGCCAGGCGATGATGGGTCAATGTCTGACATAGATATTGCACGCGCTCTTCCTGTCTCATCCACAGGACGTTTTTGCAGGGGCAACATGAGGCCCCGGGCGGAGCGTGATGCTAGGCGGGGCCCCTGAGCGAGCGTGAGGAGGTATTAAAGGCGGAGACGGCGGCTTCTTGGTCACTAGTGAATATAATCTTGACGTGTTATGTACTGAGGGCAAGTTTTCAAGCGTCCGCCTAGAAACTAAGTGTAAGACAAAGTAAGTTCTGGAAGTTGCTAAGTGTATGCATGAACGTAAAAAAAAAAAGAAGAGACATTTTAAAGCATGTCTATCGAGGAACGCGAGTGAGCCTGTCAATAAACACAAATTGTGACGTCACAGTGTTACTTGCGCGGATCACTATCTATCGAGGAGTTGGAGTCTCCGATAGAAGGGATTTTGGAATTTGTATTTCTCGCGAGGAAAAATAATTTAACGTCAGCTGAGGATACAATTGGGATACAGTTTTCGTCAGTGTCACAAATTCAAAATGCAATGTTCCCAAAAGTGATTCCGGTTGTTATCTTGCTTATTATGAACGCGTGTCGTTATTTTTTTTTAAATTGTTATCATTATTATTAGTATCACTGTTATTGTTGACGTTGTTATTATCATTATAGGTATTACCATTATCAGGAATATTGTAAAGGATAGTATTATGACGGTGGTTCTTTCTATCGCCATTCCACTAAGTTACTATCTACATAACTATTTTTTCTGGTAAATTTATCCAAACGTTGTTCCAGCATTTCGTAGATTTTACAAAACCTCATCTACGGGCTCGAATATGAACCTTACGCAATGGACAATTCACCCATTACTCAACCAATGCTACATTTCTTATCTTTTGTTATCATAAAGTCAACGCCCACTGCCCGTGCCCCCAGATGCAAGCGGTGCGCGTGGCGGCGGCGGCGGCGGTGGCGGCAGCGCTCCTGTGCCAGGCGGTGGCGATGCCCGAGGAGGTCGGCGCCGAGGAGGTGGGCCTCGAGAGCGACTTCGTGGACGTCGCGCCCGTGGCGGCCAAGAGCGTCGGCACAGGTGACTTTCCTTCGGGGTTTATGTTGAGGGACGAAAAGCGAATGGATTTAACATAAAAAAAAACGTTAAAAAGAATGCATGGGGTAAACAAAACAGAGCAAAGGAGAGAGAGAGAGAGAGAGAAAGGGAGAGAAAAGGAAAGAAAGAGAGAGGGGAGAGAGAGAGTAAGAAAGAGAGAGAGACAAAGACACCGCTAACCAGGTGTATACTTCCAGGCCGAACCTTCTCGGACTGGAGCAAGAAATTCTGGGAGTGGATGGGCTATGAGGACTACGACTACGACTACGAGTACTACTACCCCTCCAGCGCCTCCTCGCAGATCGGCTACGGATACCCCGCCGTCGGCTACATCCCCGCTTCTGCCGGAGGACACCACTCCTCCTACAGCAGCTACAGCCCCATTTCGTCCGGTCACCAGTTCGGCCACCCAGCTCGAGACGAGTGAGTTCCTCTCCCTTCTGCTGCTCCGGTCCGAGGAAGCTGCTCCTTGGCCCTCGAGGAGGAGTCTGAGCTTTGTTGGTCTTGTAGAATAAGCGATTATTTTCTTCGTCGTCACTCCGTCCGTGTTTTGTTATGAAATGTCCCGGAATGGAACACAACCTTTTCATCGCACGAGAACATAAATATTGTTCCCCCAAAGCCAAAAAAAAGCAACTTTACTTAAAATAAATGTGCCGCTCTAGTCGAAACGTGTTCTGCAAGGTGTGTTTCATTGAATTCCAAAAGGGAGTGCCGTTCGACTCGAAACGTGCTCTAAATTTTCTGAAGGTGGCTGTTTCATTCAGCTGTTTCAATAGATTTCAACACGTACATAGGAGTGTCATTCGACTCGAAACGTGCTCTTTATCTCTCTTCTCGCCGTGGCTGTGTTCCATTCATGTTCTATTCATGTTTCACTGACCTTCCCCCCGCAGCTCCGATGACGAGTGGTCTTTCACGGACATGATGTTCGACATGGCCGTGACCATCGTCCCCATTGGCCTCCTGCTCTCTGCTCTGCCCACAGGCCTCTTCACCTTCGCCGTCAGGAGGTAAGACCCGCCCCTCCGATGGGCAGTTTGGAGGAAGTGTTGTGTAATTGGTTAGTCAAGGAAAAGGTCGTAAAGAAAACTATTTATATTTTGTTTCATTTCGTTTCAACAGACGTAGCTTCGACGGCTCATACCACCTGGAGGAGGATTTCGACCCGTCGGAGCTCCCCCTCCTGCAGGCGCTGGTGGAGAGCGACTTCCTTGCCCTCGGCGAACGCGAGTGCCAGATGAAGCTCTTCTGCGAGCTCACTCTGCTCGGCCAGAAGGAGAACGCTTCATTCATGCAGAAGGCTCTCTACTACATCGCCACGCTGTAAGTCTCGGCTCTCGCTCTCCTTCCTCTCTTGCAGGCCTTGGTGGTGTGTTCTCTTTTTTCTCTTCTTTGGCCTCTGTGACGCTTTTTTCACCTTAATTTTTTCACTCTCTCTCTCTCTCTCTCTCCTCTCTCTCTCTCTCTCTCTCTCTCTCTCTCTCTCTCTCTCTCTCTCTCTCTCTCTCTCTCTCTCTCTCTCTCTCTAAACAGTGCATAGAATTGGACACGCATGTTCCCTGCTTGATTTCCTGAACCGCGTTTCTCCCGCAGGACGCCTGACTCCTTGGCCAGCCGCGTCGGCCTCGAGAAGCTGTTCCGCACGTCCCGCGACGGCACCTGCAGCGTCTTCAGCTGCAGCGCCGCCTACGGAGCCACGCCCAAGGTCACGCACAAGCCCACCCAAACCAACCACATCGACGAGGTCTCCTCCGAGGTCGAGAAGGAGGCGGTGGAAGTTTCCAAGGAGTGAACGCCAACAGCGCTGCAGCTGTTTTGGGACTGAAGTGCTCCTGCAACCTCTGTCTCTCACGGCCACGAAGCTCGCGCCACTTTTTGGTCGTAAACATCTCCCGTTTTGTTTGTCTTCGAGAGCGACGTCGTGATTGGCCCATGCGATGACCGCATGGCCAATCAGAGGGCTGGACACAAACAAGGCTAGTCATGTTTACTCCTAAAGTCAGCGCCGTTTTTCCAGGCCGAGAGAGTCCGCACTGGCACCAACGCATGTAGCGAGTAATTGATAAGATCTTCCTACACTATTTAACCGAAGTTAACATTGTTTTTTATTTTTTTATAAATAGATGTAAATTCTGGGTAGGTCTCTGTTCTAACTCTTGACGAACAAGCAAGGAAGTTGCGAAACGATGACCGACAGACTACGCATTCGGACAAACTGCCGCGACGCTCCAGAAGAAGACGCGAGTTCCACTGTGCCATAAAGGCCATCACGCTCACTCCACGACGAGGGTCTCCCGCGCACGCGCACGCGCACAGACCCAACAGAACCCCTCCAAGAATTCAGACGAAACTGTCCTCGCTGAGCCGGGTGACGCTGCCCTCCTTGTGGAATTTGGCCTCCGAGACTCAAGACTGTGATCCCCTGACTAACCCCCCCCCCCCCCGCGTTGGCGCTTCGACATCACCGACGGACGGAGGAACGCGAGTCCGAGACGCTTGCGAGGCGGCGCGGGTCGCGTGCAGGGCTCCTCGCGCGGCCCGGCGGCGCGCCTCGGAAGGTTTACCTTTTTTGACATTGTGCAAATGCTGTTGCTCTCTGTTCTTGAATCTTGACGATTTTCATAGCTAATATCCGTATATATATGTGTATATAATATATATATATATATATATATATATATATAATATACATACATATATACATATACATATATATATATATATATATATATATATATATATATATAATATATATATATATATATATGTGTGTGTCCTTAACTTTTCTTGTCGATATATTCATTTTCTTATATGTATTAGACGAAATAACTGATTTTCCCCAAGCACTACTTTCTCTGTTTGAAGTGTAGATAATGTATTTATTTTTGTATGCGTATGACGGAAATGTATTCTATTGAGGCTGGTCCTCGATATATATTTAAACTCAGGCTTTTATATATTTTTTTTTCTCTCTCTCTCTCTCTCTTTTCTTGAAAATCTTAATACGTATTTTTAAGGTTGCTCAAGTGACAAAGACGTTTTTTGGACGCATTTATGGACCGATTGTGTAGCGTCGACCCGCCTTGGACGCTGAGGGGCGACTGCTGTTCCTGTGACTTGCCTCCCCCCTATATATCCGCCTTCTTTCTTTCTTATTAATGATGATGCTTTTGTATAAATTCATTGCTTCGTTTTCTTGTTTTTATTTTATTTATTTATTTATTTTACATTTCCATTCATTTTCTTTTTTTTTTCTTTCATGATCATATATTTGTTTTAATATATATTATATCATTTTTTCTATTCTTGTGTTATCTTTATGAATATTGTTTATTTGTTCGTTATTAGTATGGATAACCATCTTTATTGTCATTATTATTATCATTACTGATTTCTTTATCATCAACATTGATTTTTACATCATTTTCAGCATTATTTTTATTAGTATTACATTTTTTTCATAATCATAATTCTTATGTTATAATTATTTTCTATCATGATCAATTTGATTTTCATAATAACAATCATCATTTAATTTTTTCATGATTTTTTTTCTTTCATGTTTAATTATTAGGCATTCTCTAGTCTGGAGCATCTATCATTTTTTAAATTCATTTAATTATTCACATATTTTAAGGCATCGTCACTTCTTTTCACACAAATTCTACGATATTCTATACCCTCATTTCGTTATTGGTGATAATATTACTACAACTACTACTACCATCACCACTATTACTACTATTACTTCTATTATTACTATGACTACCATTACTGTTACTACTACTACTATTACTACTACGACTCCCATTACTATTACTACTACTACTATTACCGACATTGCTACTTCTACTTATTCAATAGCATCCATTCCTCCCCTCACAGCCACGCCCATACAATATTTTTATTACTAGAATTACTAATAAAAGTACTAGTTGTTACCAATACTAAAACAAATTACTCCAAAATACTATTTACTATCGCTGAAATCACTGCCGCCGTGACTATTCTTTCCTTACTCACACTCCACCCCTCCCCCTCCCCCCCCCCCCCCAAAGGATCAGCACCCCCAGGGCCACCGACAGCGGTCACGTGACTCAAGACATTACGGGTAGACCGCCGCCAAAGACATGGAATACGACATTATTCTCTTTTTGTTGTGATTATTCTGACATGACACGTGTCTCCTTCACCTTGACTGTTTATTTTTTTTCTTTATATGTATGTTTTACTGACTGCGTTGAAGATAGAGTATTTTCTTCTATCTATGTAATTTGCTTGTGTAAATATATTTTTTTCAATAGACAGACAGACATGTGACGTCTTCCCTGTTGACTACGACAAGTTTAGGACTACAACGTATCCACAAACACTCTTTTTGACGGAATATAACCGACGCACTCCTTCCTCTCCTATATAAAAGAGAAAAAAAAAGCCCTTCCGTTCTTTGTACATAAATACCATTTTCCTCTCACAAAACGACAGACAGATAGTAAACGACTCAAGCTTTTCAGAGACAAAATGGACCCTTACGCTAACTGTATGAAGAAGCGATTTCCGTTTAACCTAATTATTGTTTTCGGGAATGCTTCGCTACTCGATTTACTGATGTGATAAACTGTAATTCTGCAATTGACTGACATGTTGAATTACTGAACGAATTACCTGACTGAAATGTGATACTTGTATTGACTTTAAGAAACTAGTGACTTACGTCGACACGAACTGAACACTCTAGTACAGGACTTGAAATGCTGAAAAAATGGACATAGATTACTGTTGTGACTTTCTTCAGCTTTTTATATATTTCTGTGTTGTATTTATTAAGATATTTATTTTGTTTTATTAGTACAATAAATGCACTCTTTCATGACTTTACTTTGATTGTCCTAAGGAACGTCGCAGAAAATGGGTATATTTAACAAGAGAAAGTTATGGAAACACACACACATATGCTGCACACATACATTTTCACATAAAGGGATATATCTACATATTTCTGAATTTATACTTGAGATTCGCAAAATAGTAGGTGTCTGGGTTATACTTGAGTAGTTTTAAGAGATATAAAGACGCATAAAACAAATGAATGTGCTTGGTATCAAAAGTCATATAGCACTAAGTTAAGAGTAAATAAAGGTTGATTTTTCGTTGTGTAAAGAAGGGTAGATTTAAGTAAGATTAAAAAAAACGGATGTGTCTTCAAGATATACTTTGGAGTTCTGAGAGAGAGAAAAAAGATCTGTTATAAATACATTATGAAATACTGTTTAAGTGGGTCTGCACGCGTCGAGCAGTGCTAATGGTCGTATGCCTGAGGAAATTGTGTAAATCACTTCTTGGAACAATTATGCTCTTCATACTTGTAGCAAGTTTAAACGTAACTTTATGACTGTTGGTATCAAAATTATAATATTCTTATCCTCACGTTATTTTTGGCATACGTTTTTTTTTTTTTTTTTTTTTTTTTTTTTTTTTTTTTTTTTTTTTTTGCTGGATTCATTTTGTAAAGAGGTTTTTTTTTTTTTTTTTTGCTTCGGAGAGTGTATTCCACAATTCCTTTGTCTACGAGCGTTCGTCTTTCCCCCCTCTCCCTGTCTTTCTATTTTCTCATCCGTCTCTCTTCTTCTCTCTTCTTTCTCTATCCGCTCTCTCTCTCTTCTCCCTGCCCCAACCTCCTTTTCCCTCTCTCTCTTATCTCTTTCTATTCGTTCTCTCTCTCTCTACTTCTCTCATTCTTTCTTTTTCTCTCTCTCATTCTCTCT